ATCCAAAAGACATAAGGTACTTTCACAGAAAGAAGGTTCACATGTGGAGGCTATTAGGAAGGGCTTCAGGTTACAAAGGACAGTTGAGTTGACCTTGAAGGTCTGCCTGACTGGTTTATTTTGAAAGAGAATAGTAGAAGGTGACCTGCATAACAGTAATACTATTTTGTGAACAAGATACAGAATGACTGATTGGACTTTTGAAGTAGGTTCTCGTTATGTAGCTCTGGTTGGCCTTTAACTGAAGACCATCCTCCTGCCTCAGCCTCCTGAGTGCTGGCATTATAGGCTTGTGCCACGATGCACAATTCTGAACAGGCTTTTTAGAAAATGAAAATTTTTTTTGGTTTGAATTCTTGGTTTTATGTCTAGAATACACGCATTATCCAGCAGGTATGCATCCCATGTAATCCTTTGTTTAGGTAAATATTAATAAGGTAGTTTTTCCTAAACAAACAACAATCTAGTGAAAAAGCTTGCTTCATTTATTTGTTTACTCATTAATTTTGCCATGCTAGAGATTGAACCCAGGGCTTAGTGTGTTCTAGCACTTGTGCTGGCACTCAGCTATTGCCCTAGCCCTAGCCCCGAAATGATTGCACAAATCGGTTTTATGACTAGCATAAACTGCTCGAATTGAGACTTTTCTAAACTGAAAAATGTACATACAAGTAGTGGAAAATCAATTACATTTCTGATTTCAGAGGCAAAAATTAAAGCCCTGCAAGCTGGCACAGGGGACGGAGGTTCGATCTCCAGGCCTGCCGTGCTGGCCCTGCCCCTGGGGCGCGCTGAGATGGCAGTTTTAATTATTCTTGTGTGACAAGTCAATTTAGAATACCCTAAAATACTTGTTTCACATTAAATTATTACATATAGTTGGAATTTACTTTGCAGAGTTTTATATTTTGAGGTGTGCCATAATTCACAGCAGTCTGTTATATTGGAAATATTAAAAGTGTGTTTCTGAAGAGTCAAATTTCTGGGCTGCCTGGAAACTCCGCTTTGACTTACATGAGTAGATTTCTTTCATCTGTTTAATTACTTCAAACCAACCTACTAAAAGACTATTGAAAAGTATTTGTTTAATATGCTGCCATGGAACATTTTCCAAAGAATAATATTTAAAAAAGCGGTGGGATTAAAGATGTTTTTTGCAAACCTAGATACAGAATTATTCTGAAAACTTTTGGACCTTTCTTCTTAGAAACTTTGTTACAGCAAGTTTTTTTAAAAATATATACATAACTCTTCTTTTTACTTAAAATTATTCTAAAAAGTTGTTTCGGAATAATTTCTTATTTTAATTTGGATCTATGAATACCAACAGCTATGAATACCATCTTTGAATTTTCATGGCCAGTCCACATTTGATTTCAGGTTTAGTGAATTTAGTTATAATATTCCCAAACCCAATGGGGCACAGTTACTGTGGTTACCAGAACTTTTGTAGAGGGACAAAGGTTGGAATGCTGATTCTTGAGTCAAATTTTGGCCTTTGACTCTGTCCCCTTTTCACACCCCTTGCCAAGCTTGAGCTGTTGCTATGCTTGAAGGCTTGTCAGCTAGCAGGTTCCTATGGTAACACAGATAGAAAAGTGAAGGAAGAATGGGAGCACAGAAGGTTAGTTGATTTGAATTTGAACAAAGAATCTAAGATTCCATGTGGTGCACCTTTGTTGAAGAAACTAGAAATTTAATTTTAGAGTTACTTTCCAGTTTGTAAACTTCCTATGCCCTGGTGTTGGTTGGACAGACAAAGGTACTACTGTTTAGGAAAATAATAAGAATCTTTAAAAATTCAGTGAGCTAAATTTTTTTTTTTTCTAATTCATAGAACATTAGTAGTATTCCTGTTGTTAAATATTTGTTCTCAACTTTTAAGGATCCAGGTTACCTTATTTTGATTTTTTCTGAGTCAAGGCAGTTTGCTTACTTGAAAAGTACTAATACTTTGATTTGTTAATAATAGAAGTGTCCAGGTCCCTACATGTTGACAGATCCAGTGACACCATCACCGTGGTGAGAGGAGAGCATTTTACTCCCCTGAAGCCTCCATATGTCCTCTTAGTCTGTGTCTTCTTTACTCCCACACCATGCAACCCTCATCTGCTTTTTTTTTTTTTTTGGATTAGCTTTCAGTTTCTAGAGTTTTATATAGATGGAATCATACACTGTCTACTTTTTGTGTGTCTGGTTTCTTTAATCTGGCTTTTATTTTTTTAACCAGCATTGTGATTTTGCTATTTTCTGAATGTTGTTTTTCAAAAACATCATTGTACTGTCTCTCTTGGTTAGCAGTTGAGAATGGGGGATTTAGTGGTGTTCCTAATGCCTGTGAAATAGACCTGTTATATCTCTGTTAACTTGCAGTTATTCCCTAATTCACTTTTAAATTATCATTTATTAATTGTGTTCTATACATTACATCTTTTTATTTAAGTGTTAAGATTCTTTTCTTTTTTCTTTTTTTTTTTTTTTTTTTTTTTGAGGCAGGGTTTCACCATGCAGTTCAGGCTGGCCTTGAACTCTTTGTAGCCCAGGCTCTTAAACTTGTTACAATCTTTCTGCCTCAGCCTCCTGAGTGCTGGGATTACAGGTGTGCACCACCACCTCTGGCTAAGACCATTTTTCAAGAGGAGGCTAATGCTTAGAGCAGATAAGCAGAACATATTGTTAATTGTATGGTCTGTGGGTAAGAATGCCAAGGCTTAACTGACTCCTGGGTCTATCTCTGGCTGTGTCATATTGGACAAGCTACTTAGCTTTGTTTTCTTAGGGTTTTTTGTTTTTGTTTTTGTTTTTTTTTTTTTTGTACTGGGAATTGAACTTAGGACCTTGCAGATGCTGCGCTACTGAACTGTGTCCCCGGCCCCTGTTACATAGCTCTCTACATCTTATTTTCTTCACATGTATTATAAAATCAGATTATACTAAGACTAATTTTATGGGATTGTGAGATAGAAATGAGAAAATACTTTCAACAGTGCCTGTCCAGAAGGGTCAGAAAGCTCTAGCTGCATTAGAGCCCAAAAAAGAATTTGAAACTAGTAAATTGCAGAAACATAAATTTGTAGCTTTTGGTTTAAAACAAGCAGCACAAAGTAGTCATTCAAATTGGGTTTGTAATTTATGATGGGGCTTACAAATGGAGGTTTGCTTTTATATCAACATAATTTTTTTTTTTTTATTTTAGGACAGGGTCTACAGGGTCTCACTGGGTAGATTGGACTCAGAGTGATCCTCCTGTTTACAGCCTCCCAAGTGCTGGGATTACAGGTGTGCACCACCACACCCAGTCTCAGTTGCTGTTTCAGCATGCCCTGGGGGGAAGGGCCAGCAGGCAGGCCTGAGGATCAAACTCCCAGCCCCTGTCTGCCTGAACAGGCAGCTTTAATCCACTGAGCTATTTGGCTGGCCCTGATAACTGTTTGATAGTCACAGTGTATTATTATGTTATCAGTCATCACATCCACTGAGCAGTTAATTTCTCTGACATCAATTACCTGATTCTCAATTTACTGATAGCATTATGTAGTGGAGGCCTTTGAAAAATATTACACTCAGTATAGAAGTAAGTTGAGTTCTGTTCAGGGGAAGGGGTGGTAGTAAGATTATCTGTAGCCAGCTCAAAATCAGTGGTGACTCAAGCCATCTATAAACAAGTGGGGGTGGGTATTAAGTAATTGAAGACCTCGGTACACATTTCTTGGGTTATATGATCTGTAATCCTGTGGCTATAGTGGTTATTTTAGTATAGTTTGTTTTGGGGCCAGTATTTTTGTTTCCTTAATACCAGGTTATATTGTTCACATATTTACAACATGTGTCTTCACTTTCAGTTTAAAGAACTGCTTAAAATGTTTTTTAAAAAGTAAAAAGTAGGACCCGGGGAGATAACTCAAGTGCAGGGTCCTAAATTCAATCCCCAGTACCGCAAAAAAATAAAGTAAGAATAAGTAATTTTTAGCCAAAGATGACTGTTCCCTAACTTCAACCCTTCAAGTAACTACTAAGTATAACTACTTATCCCCTCCCCTCCCCTCCCCTCCCCTCTCTCTTCTCCTTTTTTATTCTCTTTCCTTTTGGTACATATTAATTGAAGAAAATATGAAAGTTGAAATATATAAAAGAAAATCTCTTACAATCCTACCACCACATAGTAATCATACACTTCGGAGCTCTGGTTCATCTCTTTTGCATGATTTTTGTAATATACCTATATGAAATGAATTGTTTCTGTTGTCTTCTTTCTCCTCTTGCATTTTGTCCTCTCCATTCTCAACCCTGTTTCTTTGTTAATAATCACTTGTAGTGTTTCAAAATATGTGTAGATTCTGGGCTGTATCTTGGACATAAGCAGATTGGAATTTTCAGGGATAAGCTAAGAGGATTTTATTTAAAAACAAAAAACAAAAACAAAAAAAAACACCCTTTTTTGTTAGCCTCTGTCATTGTAAGAAAATCCCTGAGAATAATAACTTTAGATAAGGAATATTTATTGTACTTCATGGTTTGAGAAGTTTTAGTCTGTGGTCAGCTGACTCTAATACTTTTAGGCATGTGGCAGGCAGAAACATGGTAGAAGGGTATGGCAGGCAAAAGTTGCTCACTTTGGCAGTCTTGAAGCAGAGAAAGGAAAGGGAGGGAGGGAGGGAGAGAGAGTGTGAGCGAGCACATGCTTTCACAGGCTTCTTCCTTCTGCTTTTATTCCATCTGAGCTCCGCTTTAGGGCAGGTCTCCCACTTAGTATGTTGACCTGCCTGTGGGTCTTCTCTGGAAACAGCTTCACAGACAAACATAGAAGTGTGCTTTTCTAATTTCCTAGCTGTTTGTAAATCCAGTCAAGTGGTAGTCAAGATTAATTATCTCATTCTTTACAGAATTTAGGAAATTAATACCCTTCAGTTTTTTAAGATGGAAAAATGTAAGTTAAAATATTACAAAAGCTTTAATTTACATGCAACTCTTTATCTAATTATTCAATTTTGTTTTCCTAGCCCTTCCACCCTATGGTGAATCTAGATTGTTCTCGAGATTTCCGGCCATTTCTTTGTGCACTCTATGCTCCTGTTTGCATGGAATATGGACGCGTCACACTTCCTTGTCGTAGGCTGTGCCAGCGGGCCTACAGTGAGTGCTCCAAGCTGATGGAGATGTTTGGTGTCCCTTGGCCTGAAGATATGGAATGCAGTAGGTATGCAAGTCATGGATTTTCATGAGTCATTTCTTATGCTGAGGTGTGATTGAAAACACTTCTCTTTTTATCTATTTTTAAAAGAT